AATCAGTTCATTCACATTCAGAGTAGCATTGATCTCTCTCTTAGATCTCTAAGTTTAAAAATATAACATAAGTCAGTCTCAGATATGGTTTTGATCATGTAAATTTCTACATGTACTTCTGAGTATTTGTTTTTAAAGACTACCCCAAATTGTCCAATACGTAAAAAGAAAAATATTTAAATATTCAAAAAGAATGTTGCCCTGGCCGGTTTGGCTCAGCAGATAGAGTGTCAGCCCGCAGACCAGAGGCCCAGGTTCGGTTCCACTAAGGGCACGTGCCTCGGTTGCAGTTTGTCCCCGGCCCCAGTTGGTATCGTGTGGGTGGCAACCACTTGATGTGTCTCTCTCACATCAATGTTTCTCTCTCTCTCTTCCTCCCTCTCTCCTTCCAGCTCTATCTGAAGATAAATGCAAAAATGTCCCCAGGTGAGGATAAAAAAAAAAAAAAGAAAGAAAAAAAACATTAGCCACTCCATAAGAGTTTTGATAATATAATAAGGATACCCTCTTCTTGTCTGTGTACTTTATACTTGTTATATATTTATATATTTAGTAGAGACTAGGAGATATAGTGTAACTGTGTCACAAATGTACCAGGGTAAAAGTCACTTTGGCCCACCCTTAAAATAGCACTACTGAGTTCTGAAGGACAAACAAAATTGAAAAGCCTCTAAGCAGCTTGATCAGAGACTGCCAAATCTCCCAGGCAGAATCAATGGATGTAAAAAACAAAAACAAAACAGGGCTTGAAATATGTCTAACAAACATTCATACTGTTAATTTCAATACCAATGAAGGAAAAGACAACCATTAGCTAATTATCACACCAAGGCCAAGATATTGTATTTGTTTTCCTAAAAGGACACAGAATCAATTTATCAATCAACTTTGGTTAGTACAAGATTGTTGTCAAACAGAACAGTATTCATAACTTATTGATTAATCTGGGCACTGCTTCATGAACAAATTCCAACTTATTTACCATAACCCAGCTTTAATAATACATAAGGATAGACTTGTGGAGGCCTGACCACCGTACTCATTTAAAAAACTACTTATTAGAAACTGTGCCTCTTTTAAATCCAACTAATGCATGAAAAAGAAATATGCATTTGAAATATTTTTAAGTATTTAAATAAATAATACTATGCAAGATTTTTAAAAATCACAGTAACTTTTTTATCCTTCAAGGTCAGAGAAATTTGTATTTCAGTTAATCTAATATTCTGATTCAGTTTGTTCATCTGTTAAAAAAGACTGCTAGGAACTAAATAAATTAACATTTGTAAAGTACTTGGAATAATACCTGGCATATGGATTAAGTGCCATATGTGTGATTATTAATTAAATTAAGTTATATAATTGTGGTAAACTGAAGTTCTAAAATGTCCCTCATGAGTCCATTTTTCTCCCCTTGAATCTAGATGGACATGTGATTTGTTCTGATCAACAGAGAAAAATAGAAGTGTTGTTCTGGGATTTCCAAAGCTATGTCATAGAAAGAATACAGCTTCTGCCTGGCTCTCTTTTGGAATGTATACTCTGGGGAACCAAGACACTCCACTTAAAGAAGCCCAAACTCATCCATTTGGAGAGATCACAAAGACAGACACATGTGGAGAGAAACTAGAGCTTTCCTAGCCAACAACTGCCAACCATATGAATGAACGAGCCTTTAGATATTCCAGCTCCCAGCCTTTAAGTTTTCCAGCTTCAGACACTGTGGAACAAAGAGAAGCCATCCTTGCTGCGCCTGGTCCAAATTCCTGATCCACAGAATCTGTTAGCATAATAACTGATTGTTTTATGCCACTACATTTTGGGATAATTTGTTACTCTGCCATTGTTATTCTATAATAAAACTGCTACACTTAGGATATGCTTTTCAACTAAAATCAAAAAGATTTTAAAGTAGAGTGGACGACAAAGGGATTTTATGGAAAGTAACCTCCCAGGGTGATCTAATCATAAATTCCTACCCGAACAGGTCTTGGTGGGTAGTCATGCCCCAGGCATATTAACTTCTTTAGTAAAAGGTTTATCTTTGCCTTAAGCAAGCCCTGTAGTTTCTGTGCATCTAGGTTAACACACCTTTTAAAATGCCTCTTTTCAAACCCCTCAGAAGAGAAACCACCCACAAGAACACAGAATCCTGTTAATTATCCTGTAATTCAATCCCCAACTTGCTTACTTCCACCTTTATGTAATCTTCCTTTCATTCTCTCTTTAATTCCAAATGCATTAAAGAGGTTGCAAATTGTCATTCTGGGAAGCAATTTTCTCAGTCTGTTACAAAATTAAATGTTATGCAAATAGGGCAGAGATGAAACAGAAGAGAGACTCATAAAACAAAGTAGAAACAACTGTCAAGAATCCAACATATTTTTATAACAGCAGCAATAATTGTTACTGTCCTCCATGTGTAAAGTACTGCAAAGAGCCATGATTTAACACTTCTAAAAATCCTATAAGGATTCTGTATCATCTCTATTTTATATCTCACATGCAAATCAGAAATAAAATACCCCGAGACTAAAGCTATAAAACACATACTTTCATCTTGCTTTGTTGATTCAGATGGCACTCTTTGAATCCTTGTAAGGGATCATCATTACGACTATTGCTAATATAAACCAGGGGTTGGCAAACTTTTTCTCAAAGGCCCAGATAATAAACACTAGTTTTTGAAGGCTATATATAGTCTTTATCACATATTCTTCTTTGTCTGTAAATTTATCCACACACATCTTAACCAAATTTACAGCTGTTAACAGATTGTGCCTCTGTATTCCTGGACATATAAACTTCTTAATCAGAACAAAAACAGGTTCAGAGTCTAGTTGTTTAAACTGGGATTGGTACAGCCATACCTAACTGAAGTTAAAATGACTGTCAAGTAGAAAAGGTTTGTTCCAGTTTCTTCAAAGCTACAAAGATGCTGCTTGGCAAATGTGTCTGTGGTCATCTAAAACTGAAGTTACTTGATCTCATTTAAGAATTAGATGCCCAATCTAATGCCAAATCAAACACATACTTTTTCAAATTGAGGTTCCAAATTAGGAAGAAGCTAATTACTTAAGTTCAAATTGGAAGAGGAAATATTTTTGAGAGCCTGTAAATCAAAAGGCCCTTAGAAATTGGAATGAATATTAGAGTGAGGAAATGAACTCATAAATATAAAACTTTTTATTCATTTTTCACAGGAACACAAAAGTAAAGTTTAAGTAAGAAATAATAAGTATAGGTTTATAGATAGCACTCTTTACAGACCGAGAATAGATATGAGTTGATTACTAGTAGCTAAGGTATTGGCCATATCATATTCATAGAAATTAGTTGCCTTGCTAAATTTATTAGAATAGTCATCGAAGAGAAAACTAACCAATTCAATCACTAAAAAGGCACAGCTAGACAATTTACATTCTCTGTTTTTGGAAATCTCTGAAAAATTATAAGTATTATTTCAAGGCATCTGCTATTTTTACTATTGTTTATGACTTTCTACATTTCTTGCATCCATAGATGAAAAAATATAAATTTCTTTGTACTAAGTACAAACAAAATAGAGCAGTTAGCCATAGAGAAAAATCTATCACCCATAAAAATAGCACTTTTGAACCTATTACTACTACATAATTGACAAACTCTATTTATTATAAGCTGAGCTTACACAATGCCATATACCCTGTTTGAAACCTAAACTTTATGATAGCTACTCAGATGCTATAATATCTGCCAAATTCTACTTTTCCTCAAATTATTCCAATATGACTTCAAACTAAGGGTCCACAGGAGAAGCTGATCAGAAGAAACAGCTCAGGTATACACATTTTCCAAGTACTGGGAAGGAATCCAATAACATTTAAAAGAATGGCATTTAAGCAGGAGTATTTATTTATAAGTATGTGAATTCTGACACAGGAAATGTACATAATATATATGGAGCTAGGTGAGATATAGATAGATAGATAGATAGATAGATAGATAGATAGATAGATAGTTAATCCTCATCCGAGGATATTTTTCCATTGATATTTAGATAGAGTTGAAGGAAGAGAAAGAGAGAGAAACACAGATGTGAGAGAGACACATCAATTGGTTGCCTCGTGCACGACCCCAACCAGGGCCAGGGACTGAACCTGCAACCCAAGTATGTGCCCTTGGCCAGGAATTGAACCCAAGACCAAGACCCTCTAATCCACAGGCCCAAGGGCAGCGAACGTTTTTTCTGCCAAGGGCCAACTGGATATTTATAACATCATTCGCAGGCCATACAAAATTATAAACTTAAAAATTAACCTGCTATATTTGGTCGGGCTAATTTGGTGAGGCCTGTGATGTTAGCTGGTATTGATTTTGTGGGTTACGTACAACCCTGAGGCCGGACGTTCCCCACCCCTGCCTGAGCCAAACCGGTCAGGGCTGACACAGGAAATATTTTTATACTGGCAAAACAGATCCCATTACTCTAAAACCTTACATATTTCTATTAGAAATACAAGGAGAGATTTTGTCTGAATGAATAAAATGAATGTTACAGGAGCCCAAACAATTATCAGCTTCTCCAATAAAGCTATATGTCTGGTGATGCAAGGTTTCCATGGTCTTTTACTCTGGACTTCTATGGACTCTGTGGGCTAATCACATGGTCAAGCAGTTGATTACACTATATTGGTTTGTATTGTTTTCAAGTAATTTCTTATGTTACTATATGTCTTTAAAATATTTTGAGTCTCACAGCCATTGAAACACATCAATAAGCAGATCTTATCACTACAAACTTCCTTAAAACTCTCTTCAGTGCTGTGGAAAGGTAGGTTTCAACTGGATACAAAGAGCTTTGAATATCAAATGAAGGATTTGCACTTAATTCAATGAATCATGGCAAGCTACTGAAAAAGAGGAAATTGATAATAATAATAATAATAATTTAGATGTTTTGTGCAGGTTGGATTAGAGGGCTGAAGGATTGGAGAAAAAAAAAACAAAATAACTATTCACTTACCCACAAAATAGGTGACTGGCTGGTGCCTGAACTAGAACGGTGAGAGGAGAAACAGAAAATGGGCATAGGAACAAGTAAATAGATTGAGGGAGCCTGAAAATAAAGTCACAAATTGGTAATTTATTAAGTATGGGAATAAATTAGAAAAAATGGTCAAATAGTTTCAGTTCAGCAAACATTTATGGAAACCCAATATAGATAAACTCTCAAGGTGCTCAAAATCTAATAAGGTAGACAGACAATGTCCATGAAAACTGAAATGTGGCCATAATGCGTATCATAAACTTCTGCAAACAGCATGATTACTGTAGTGCAGAGGATGGCACCATCAATCCTGAGTAGAACCGGGAAGACCAGCATTTTAAACCTGAGTGACGGTGGAATAATGGTACTTTTGCCAAATAAGGTGTATTCTTTCTTCAAAATGTATCTTAATCTACACCCCTTAAATCTCTTTCTATTAACAAAGTCCAGGCATAGGTCATCTCTTGTTTGTAATACTTTATCAAACATAATCTCTCACCCAGTCGCTCCTTAGTAGAGATAAATTACCGACATTTTAGCAGGCTGTTTCCATCATGCTACTCTGTCTACTCTAAGAGGACTTCGGTGACTTCCATTGACTTCAAGGGTCAACCTGTTGCTCCCAAAACAGTCAATTCTCTAAGGACTGCCATCCTCTTTTCATCTGAGCTCTTCTCATTTTGTCACGAGAGTGTAACTTTCCTTTTTATCCTGGCTAAAGAGATGTATCCTTATTGCAAAGAGGACTTGAGGGGCACCTGACCTCTGAATCAGAAAAGCTGAGACTGCATATTGGCTCTGGTTATTTGATATTGGACAGGTCAGTCAGCACTCTTATTTCTGTGTCTGAGGAAATAAAGCCAAACTCACAGGGATATTTTGAGGAGGTATGTGAAGTTTTTATAAAGTGAGAAGAGACAGGATATAAACCTCTATAACTATGAAGATGACTATAGATCCATATTGGGTAAAGTCAATTCTTTACCGAATGAATGATCAGTCTAAACGGTTCAGAGCCTCGATCAAGGACTGGCTATCCAGAGTTGCTGACTCCATTTGTTTTGGCAAGCCAAGCTAATGGGGGCAGGGAGGCGGCATAGTAGATGATTTTTAATCTATATCCATAAAGTGATTTCCCAAGCCTATGAAGCTTTTGGCTTTGTATCCCTATCCAAGTCAAATAAACTGAAGTTTTCATCTATAAAGAAAAACAAAAGCCTAACTGGCCTTTTAAAGTGTGATTAGATTAGAATTTCCCATAACTGCTTCCCACTGTTTTTTAAAGCATTGTTAGCTTGGGAAACTTTTTTTTTTTCACTATTCTCTTCTTCTCTGTGAATGTTTTGCTAGAGTCCTCTATCTAGTCATTTGTTAACTGTCCATAACAGTGCTGTCCAGCAGCATGTTCTGCAATGATGGACATGCTCCGTATCTGTGCTTCCAGTATGGTAGCCACCAAGCACCTATAATGCAGTTAGTGCATCTGAAGGACTAATTTTTTAATTTAATCTCAATTAATTCAAATTAAAAGACCACAGGTGTCTACTAGCTACCATTTTGAACAGCTTGGGTCTACTGCATGTGGGCCAGAGACAGACCCATTAAATACTTGTAAAATCCCCTGGCAAGGTTGGCAGCCAGAGTGTCCAAAACACTCCAGTTATAAAATTCTGCTGATGCGCTTCAGAGTTGGAAATTAGGACATGATCCTTTACATAAGTGCACCTGTACAACCATGACTCACATCACTGTTCATGGTGCCCCCCTGCTGGAAATGCCCTTGCCCCAACTGTGTCAAGCAAACTCTCATTCTTCTTGCAAAGCCAGTTCAAATGTCACTTTCCCCAGGAGGCTCCTTTGATTTTTCTGAAAGCAACAGAGAAGAGTGAAAAGAGCTGTAGTTAAGGAATAAGGTAGATTAGTTTGAATTCCTGAGATAGCCCTTACTAGCCAGAACTTACTAAACCTTGAACAAATCTTTAGCCTCAATTTTCTCATCCATTAAATAGCAATAAAAATACCAATTTTGAAGATTTGAAAAATCAGAAATTCTGAGCAACATTATGTTATGGCTAACATTTATTAACTGCCTACTTGTATTAGTCAACATGGAAGGACAACACTTGATATTTGTTTTCATTTTATTTTCATCGCAACCCTATAAAGTAAGTTATATCCCTTTACCTATTCATCCACATATTCAACAGCTTTACTCATTTGTACATTCAACAAATGTTTGGGAGCCTAATGTGCCTGGTAAGGAACTGAGTATAAGAGTGGACAAAGTCCTGGCACTCACAGATCTGACATTCTAGTGGGTGACAGACAATAAGCAAGAAAACAGATAGATGTATAATACCATATCAGTAGAGGTAAGTGTTATGGCGAAAATAAAGCAGGATAAAATAGAGAAAAGGATAGGATGCTATTTTACACGAGAGGTAGCAAGGTCTCTCTGTTTAGGTGATACTTCAGCAGGGAATTAAATGAAGCATAAGGATCAGCTTTGAGCAAATATGTAGGAAGAATGCTCCCTGAAGGAACAGCATCAGTGGGCACTATTATGCTAGATGTGAAAAATACATGAATGAACCAGACAAAGTGATTATATTCCAGCATTTTATTTTATTTTATTTTTTATTTTTTTTATCCTCACTCGAGGACATTTTTCCATTTTTTGTTCACGTAGAGCGGGAGGGAGAGAGAGGAAGAGAGAGAGAGAGAGAGAAACATCGATGTGAAGGGACACATCGAGTGGCTGCCACCCGCACGACCAACCAGGGCTGGGACAAACTGCAACCGAGGTACATGCCCTTAGCGGGAACCGAACCCGGGTCTCTCTGTACTGCAGGCCGACGCTCCAACCGCTGAGCCAAACCGGCCAGGGCTATTCCAACATTTTATATTATTATGAATAAATGAGCAAAACCATAATGTCTTGGAAGTGAAAAAGTTCAATGAAGAAAAGGGAAAAATATAAGAAAATAGAACAGTAATTTTTAAACTTTTTCATCTCATGGCACATATCAACTACTAATATTCTGCAGCACACCAAAAAATATTTTTTTTGCCAGTCTGACAAAATAAAAAGTTATAATTTGGTTCATTCACATCAGATGGTTATTGTTGTGTTGGCTGTTGTCTTTTTCTTTTTTTTTAAAACTGATTTCAGAGAGAGGAAGGGAGAGGGAGAGAGATAGAAACATCAATGTGAGAAACATCAATTGACTGCCTCCTGCACTCCCCCTACTGGGGATTGAGCCCTACAACTCAGACATGTGCCCTGACTGGGCATCGAACTGGTGACCTCCTGGTACACGGGATGATGCTCAACCAACTGAGCCATGCAGGCCTGGCCCATTGTCATTTTTTTATTTGACTATCTAAGGGAAAAGAGGCCAGTGCACTTGACTAGTCAGATATTGCATGTTTTAAACATTCTTGAGGCACACCAGTATGCCACAGTACACCAGTTGAAAATCACTGAAATAGCATAATGGAAAAATTACTATTACTTCTACTTTAAGGATAAGGAGACTAAGAGGTAAAGTAACAATCTGGTAAATGATAGAGAAAGCATTTAAACCCATAACGTAGCTCATTCTTTTAATTTCCATGCCACTCTCTCCACCCTATTCGATAAAGTCTCTATTGGGATCACAGTCTATTCTTTGTTTTACCTTTATATCAGTACAATGGCACACATCTAGATTTCTACTCTAGATGTAATATGAAAACTCTGTTATAATTAAAGAGACCATGATGAGAGATACTCTCCTTATTTAGAGAAATCCTGTTTTAAATTCACAACAGTAAAACATATAGCATTTAAAGATAAAAGTAGTAGGTTTTGGAAGGGGGCTAGAGTGACAGAAAACTACCCACATAAGCCTAGGGCTTCTTACTGCAACATTGAACTATAGGGTGTCCCAAAAAATGTATACACAACTTTGAATAATTATAAAGCCACTGTTCATTAAAATGCATTTCATTTTCAAAATGTAATAGAATCTGCAGACACCCTGCATATATTTTTTGGGGACACCCTGCATTAACATGGGCTTGCCAAAGGGTGTGATGGGACACTGTAATAAATGGGGGAGGAATAACAAAATTATCATTACAAAGATGATAACCAAATTGGTGACAAGTTAGCAATACATATCAAAACTTATTAGCACGATATGCCCAAGTATTCTCTTCATTGTAAATCCTTAGGATTTAAAATACTTCAACTTTCAAAGCTGCTTCCTATCACTTAGCAAATTACTTCACAACTGTCAGCACTTCAATTCACAAACCAAAGGAAGAAATTCCCAGGGCCATATGGAAAAGATTCTCACCATGCCATAATAATCTGTTTAATCTGTGTGAAAACATCTTGTTCATAATTACTGTACTTTTTTCCTAATTAAAAAGTAATACATATTTATTATTGAAAGTCTGAAAATTCAGAAGTTTATAAATGAGAACCTTAATTCTATTACCCAAAGATAACTGTTGTCCATATGGTGAAATATTTCTTTCTAATATGATGGCATATTTATTTTTCTATATGTATTTGCATGTATGTGTTTGATGGTTGTTGTGTGGATAATTGTTTTTACTTTTTTTTTATCCTTATCTGAGGATATTTTTTCATTTTTTGTTTACATAGAGTGGGAGGGAGAGAGAGGAAGAGAGAGAAACATCGACATGAAAGGGACACATCGAATGGCTGCCACTCGCACGACCCAACCAGAGCCAGGGACAAACTGCTACTGAGATACATGCCCTTAGCGGGAACTGAACCTGGGTCTCTCTGGACCGCAGGCCAATGCTCTAACCGCTGAGCCAAACCAGCCAGGGCTGGATGATTGTTTTTAACAGAACTATTATTATACTCCTTCCATAGCTTTGTATCTTGCTATTTTTCACTTTACACGAAAAGCAATTTATCTGTATTTTAAAATACAAATTTTAATAATGGTAAAACTTCTACTATATGCAATTAACCATCTCTTTATTGGCAATTCCAAATTTATGCCATTAAACACGGTGCTGGGATGAATATCACTGAAACTACCCTATATTCAAAATACTGACTATTGCCCTGGCCAGGTGGCTCAGCATTGACCTATACGCCAAAAAGGTTTCAGGTTCGTTTCCCCATCAGGGCACATACCCAGGTTGCGGGTTCAATCACACCATTGGGACATGTTCAGGAGATGTTTCTCTCTCACACTGACATTTCTTTCTCCCTCTCTCTCTCTCTTCTTTCCTCTCTCTCTAAAAATCAAAAAATTAGCCCGGCTAGTGTGGCTCACTGGTTGAGCATCGACCCATGCACCAAGAGGTCGCAGGTTCTATTCCTGGCCAGGGCACATGCCCAGGTTGTGGGCCAAATCCCTAGTGGAGGGCATGCAGGAGGCAGCCAATTGATGTTCTCTTTCATGGATGTTTCCATCTCTCTCTCCCTCTCCCTTCCTCTCTTTCTTAAACCAATAAAGAAACAAACTTTTTAAATAAAAATCAATAAATCATTTCAAATTTAGAACTGTTGTCAAATGTCCTCCATACAGCCCTGGTCAGTTTGGCTCAGCAGTTAGAGCGTCGGCCTACGGTCCAGAGAGACCCGGGTTTGGTTCTCACTAAGGGTGCATACCTCGGTTGTAGTTTGTCCCCGGCCCTGGTTGGTTGTGCGGGTGGCAGCCACTGGATGTGTACCTTTCACGTCGATGTTTCTCTCTCTCTCTCTTCCTCTCTCTCCTTCCCACTCTATCTGAACAAAAAATGGAAAAATGTCCTCCATACAGTACTACCAATTTACCTTCCCGCTATTGAGTTATCTGAGAGTTTCACCAAAAGGCATATTTTTTAAATATGCAAGGCAAAAAATAACATGTCACTATTCTAATTTGCATTTATTTCATTAATAAAGCTAAATAATTTTCTCTATTAGCCACTTGTATTTCTTCTATGAATTCCTTTTTAAAAATGTATTTGGCCATTTTTCTATTAGGATTTAGTTTTGTTTTCTCTTGTTGATTAAAAAGAACACTTTATATGGTGGGATATTTGCCCCTTATCAACATACATGTTACAAATATTTCTACCTCTTTCTTATTGGCTTTTTTTTTTTTTATCCTCATCTGAGGACATTTTTCCAATTTTTGTACAGATAGAGTGGGAGGGGGAGAGAGAGAGAGAGAAACATCGACGTGAAAGGGACACATTGAGTGGCTGCCACCTGCACGACCAACCAGGGCCGGGGACAAACTGCAACCGAAGTACGTGCCCTTAGAGGGAACCGAACCCGGGTCTCTCCGGACCGCAGGCCAACGCTCTAAACACTGAGCCAAACCGGCCAGGGCTCTTATTGGCTTTTAAAGTTTCTCTAATGTAGAGGTGTTTCAATGTTTCATGTAGTCATACTTATCAGCACTTTGTGGTCAATTTACTCCTTTAAATTTATGCTGGAAAAATTAATACCTTTTTCTTATAACAGGGCAAAAATTATTTATACCTATAAAATGAGTTGGTGAAATTCCAGCAATATGGCAATATGGGGAAATAATCTAACCTAGAACTCTCCAATCATACACACAGATGTACAGTTACTTTCCCTTCTCTCTAAACATACAGAAATACTAGATAAGATATATGAAGATTTTTGTTTTAAAAACATAGATGAGCTTCAAATTAATAAAGGGAAAACCCCAAATGCCTGGGATCAAAAATGGAAATCAGAAGGAAACAATATTATACTTTTTTGGTTAAATTTATTCCTAACTATTTTATTATTTTTCTTTCTATTATAAATGGAATTATTTTCTTAATTGCATTTACACACATCATTGTTAGTATATGAAAATACAACTGATTGG